ATTTTGCAGAGATGGCAAAAATATCCGCGTACCTGAAGGATCATTCTCAGGAGAAATTTATCTTAATGTGGAGAAGATGGATAGATTATATTCAGAGAAAGTATGAATTGAAAAATTATTATGTAGCTTTTGATTAAAAATTCTGAACAAAAATATGTATATCAAATATTGATATTTTTTTAAAAAATTTGTATGTATTTTAATGTTATTTTAGAGTCACAGCAAGTTTATACTACTGTGTAGTAATAATGAGTAGTTTTGAACAGAATTGGATTATTGTCTGTTTATTTCCTAGATTAGCTTTGGGAAGTCCTGGGGGGGAGGGGGGAAAGGGGTAGGTTTGTGTTATAGATTTATATGTATGATTTTTTAAGGAGGTGTCCGGTGGTGCCCCAACTGCACAAGACGGGTGGTTGAGTGAGGAAGGGAGGTAGGAAAGAGGGAGGAAGGAGGAGTGGTGGTAGGTTGGGAGGAGGAAGGTGTGGTAAGTGGAAGAGGGTGGTGCAGGAGGGGGACACCGGACACATCCGTGAATGTATTGATTAGTGTTATTTCTTTTGGTTGATATTGTGATAAAAGATCTATGTTTTTGTTTTTAAATGAAAAATTAATAAAAATTTATTAAAAAAAAAAGAAAAGAAAAACTCATTAACAGCTGCTAAAAAAGGCCATATTTCATTTTATTATTTAACTAATTAAATTTATAAGCTGTCCATCTCTATCGAATGACTCTGAACAGCATATATTTTAACCTTGGTCAAATAAGTTAACTTTATATATTTTCTTTTTACTTTTAAAAGTCTTAATATTTATTCCTTTTAAGTAGTGTCCCAGGGGCTGATTTCTTTTCATTCTCTAATATTAGTACCGCTTTATAAAACCCTAATAAGACCACACCTGGAATACTGCAACCAATTCTGGTCATCATACTACAAAAAAGATGTTGAGACCTTGGAAAAAGTTCAGAGAAGAACAACTAAAATGATCAAAGGCCTGAAGACTAAAACATATGAAGAACGGCTGCAGGACTTGGGTTTTTTTCTTTAGGCTAGTCTAAAGAAAAGAAGAAATAGGGGTGACATGATAGCAGTATTCCAGTATCTGAGGGAGTATCACAAGGAAGAAGGGGTCACTTTGTTCACCAGAGCACCAGAAGGAAGGACGAGAAACAATGATTGGAAACTGATCAAAGAGAGAAGCAACCTGGAATTAAGGAGAAACTTCCTAACAGTAAGGACAATTAACCAGTGGAAAAGCTTGACTTCAGAAATCGTGGGCGCTCCATCACTGGACGTTTTTAAGAAGAAACTGGACAGTCACTTCTCTGAAATGGTATAGGTTCTCCTGCTTGAGCAGGGGGATGGACTAGAAGACCTCCAAGGTCCCTTCTATTCTATTCTATTCTATTCTATTCTATTCTATTCTATTCTATTCT